TTGACGTTTTTCTTCTTCTGTGGCGAGAAAGATCTCATTTGAATGAAACCCAAGGTGCTCTTATTCGCTTGGTGCACTTTACCAATATGTTTTGATGCGATCGCACGAGTGAGAAGGGAAGGAAGGAAGGAAGTAAGTAGGAAATCAGGTCTAAAGTAAGCTCGAATTTGCTTCACTGGGCAATCTTGAGACTCCTTATAGATTCCTCATTCAAGCGTGCAACTTACTACGAGTAACAGGCTTGGAAATATTTTTCTATCGATTGTGAGAATTTTTATATCATTTTTATCTTCATTCTCTTCATCAAGGATTATCTTTGCATCGATATTGTTTTTAATTGAGACATTTTTTTCCACTGCATTTTTTTTGTAACTTCAGTAATATTTCTTTAGCAAATCGTCGAATTTGAATAACTAATTTAAAAAATAATTTCTAATTTAATAATAAGTTTCTAAATTAACATTCAAGATTGAAATATTATATGATAATATACATTAATATTACATCTTGACATTAATTATTACACATGAAGAAGGTTGAGAATGTTTAATACTATATAAATTATATTAAAAAATAAAAAATATATAATAATAGATTTTATGTTATTAAGAAAAATATTTTCCATTATTACAAGAACTTAATATCAGTGTTCATTGTGGCAATAAGTACAACATGAAAGAATAATTAATATAGATGCTATACCTAGTAGATGAGTCAATTAAAATGTCAGTAGAAATGATGATCGCACTTAGTTTTATTAGAAGTGACATTAAACGTTGAGTTCTTTTTCAATATATGTCGCGAGTCAGGACACCGTGTAACGCGATCGACCTTATCGCAGCATAATCATTGTACAAGCTTGCTGTACTACCACTATACACTAGGTTGATGGTATGGTGTGTGGCATGGCAGTGTTTGAAAACGTATTGCATTTAGCTTCTCGCGTGTCGCGTCACTCGTCCACGCTAATAAAATAATTACCCTCGCTCGTAATTTATAAAGCGTCGAGGGAGGTCGAGCTTGAATAAGCGTGCACATGGTTGTCGGATAATTTTACTTCGGTTCAATTCCCACGGATCCCGGAAGCGCGTCGAGTGTCGAAAAAAATACACTGGGCTATCAGTTCAACTCATGAGCCAGGGCAAAGTTCCAAAAAGCCATCCCCCGAGGACTCTTTAAGGGTAAAAGCGCAAAAGGTTGGAGAGGGAGAGGACGCGTTAGTGCAAGCACCGTGTGACACAAGTGGGGAAATGATTACAGGGTTGAAAATAAGTCGTGACCGTGTTGCGCAATTAAGGAAACGACAATCGTAAATTTACTTTTAAAAGTATGGGTAAAGGGATAAAGTTCCTGCGACGAAATTGCTCCCATCAATCTATCGAACGATTGGCACTGCGAACAAATTCAAGAGCCATTGACATCAGTATTTTTTAATGTAATAACCAAGATTTTGCATCTAAATGTCCTGTCGCTATTCTTTGTACCCCCGGCATCGTTTTTAACACTTCATATTTAAGCCCAATTATCTGTTAAAACAAATTGCAATAATATCATTACAATTTTGACTTCTCCATTGAAAAAAACTGAAAATTGTTACTACTAACCCCCCGATCTCCTAATAAATCAATATTAAGATCAACTAATTTAACTGCTTGCTTCAAAATCATTATTTCACCCCAAGCTTTGTTTGTATAACATGCAAATATCACGTTTGGATACAATTCATCAAAATGGTTCGATTTCAGCCGCAAACTCCGAATAAACAAACAGATGAAATTGTAAAAGTTAGGTAGTAAAAATATGTGATTTTAAATGACCCTCACGTTTTATTTATTATTTTTACTATCAATATTTTGCTAACTGATACTATTTTCGTTTACCAATTTTTTTTATCCTCTTTAATCGAGTTTTATTGTAATTTTATTAATAGCCTATTACAATATTCATTCTTGCATATTTTTATGTAGTAAATAAAAAATATATTCCTATTAATTTTTTCATATCAAATGCCCTCATGAAGTTTTTATCTATACATTTAAAAGCTTCTATTTGGTAACTCCAATGTATTTTTATTTTTTTTTTCGGTGTAATATAGAACTTTCTGTATCTACTTTCATCGATTTGTAGCCACATAATAACATAAAACAGGACTCATAATAATCTTTCGGTTCTGAATATTCACGATAATTTTTTTATATGCGATAAAAGGATTTAAATTTTTCCAAGCAAGAAAATATTGCCAAAGGCTTAGGATATTTTTCGGAGGAAAGCAGATCTAAAGCTCAGCAAGAGATATCTGTAGTTTATTGAAGCTGAAGAATACTCTAACCGGATGGGCGAGTAACTACCGAGTATTACGAGGCCCTCAGAACAGCCTGGATAAAGCGGCATATAATTAGATGGGGTGTAAGATATATTTGGAGCCTAGCCATATTGGCCAAAGGCCAGGCTTTAGCCTTGCAACCCTCTCAACGAGGGCTTGATACTGCACTCACGTGTGTGTATATTACCCTTGAGCATAGATGTACATGAGAGAAGAGTGTAAAGCATGGCTCCTGCCAGGACAGTAAGGAGAACAAGGAAAAAGAGGACAAGAGGGTAGGGTAAAGGGTTAGAGTAGATTGGTAACACTATGTTATGTGTCACCTTGGCGTTCTCCATTATTTTATAAATCATCTCAAGATGTTGAGAGCGCCTTAGTTGTAATATGAATAAGAATTGGATGGAACCTACTTATTTCTTAATAACTGCCAAAATTCTAAGTCTGACGAGGAATTATGGTCACTAATTTTTAAATTTTATTTTACACATTTTTCATGCAGTCGCGTTGGAGATCGAGACATCTTTACAGCTTTGCTGGAGAATTTTTTGATTGTCTAGGGGAATATTATTTAATTAAGCTAGTTATTTTTCATACTCTGAAAAAATTAATTAATAATTCTAAAACCCATTTCCATAATGGCTATAAGTAATAGTCACTAGCTACTGTATGCCACCTAGATCTTGCTTAGATCCTGTACGACTTATAACACAATGGGCACACAATCTCTGTCGTCCCTCTTACAGTTTGAAATTAATAATTCATAATCATTGAATGGTTTAAAAATGAATGAATAACTTTGCTATGGACTACAATAAATTCAAGAAAAAATTAGTTTAGTATCAATCAAGCACTGAAGCTTGGAGAAAAGTTTGCAAATGGTTTTAAAACTTGAATTTATTTTTTATGATTTTTTTTACCCATCAACTGTCTTGATGAGACCCAGGAATTATTTTTGTTACAATCAAGTCAGATGATACTTAGTTATTTTTCTGGATACATGAGAAACAAAAACTGCTGGTAACATTTAAAAACATATTTCCACACTCTCTGTCAGTAGTGTCATAAAAAAACAACACCATTTTTTTTATTTTCATTTTAGTTTGTTAAAAAACTTTTTTCTGTAAAATTTAAACTGACGTTTCCGAAGTTGCAAATTTTTTTATTTGTTTTTAAACATGGTATTAGTTCAGTATGAAGCAACATACAAGTTTGCGAATAAGTTGGAAATTTTTAATGTGGGATGCTAATTTTTTTTTACTCATTTCTATCAACGTTTGAGATAAGAAAAAAATACAAAAAAGTTTTTTAAATAATTTTTTTCGTTTTATTCTTTCGTTTTTTAGTCAACGTGTAACGACATGATCGCGTGCTTGTGTCTCGATCAGGAACAGATTCGAGGAGAGAGGAATAAGAAGGGGGTTTTGATCTCTCGAAAAATCAAACTTTTAATTCACTTTTAAACGGCCTGCGAACGGCAATTATGAAAGTTTTAGGTAATTGGATGAGTGTGGTACCGATTGGTTCTCGTGAAAACGAACGTCTAAGCGATATATAACACAATGTGAAAATTGCATGCATCAGTAAATTAAAAAATTTTTAATCTTCAAATTAAATTCGAATTCATGACTTATTCGTCAGAATTGGCAAGTGAAAAAATTAGGGAATTTAAGTTGAAATAAATGAAAATTAAGGAATAAAATAATAAAAATGAAAAAATTGGCAGTCGTTGAAGAGAGCTTGGAACGACATCAGAAACTCCTCGAACACGTTTCCTCGTTCAGAGAACAAATTAATTGACGACCTGAGCTAACGACTTTCAAGTTTGATTCTGTAATAAATCTGGAATCTCGTTCCGACGGTTTTATGACCTCGCGTCGGCGAGTTATACTGTGAAATGCGAACGCTTGAGAATGTCGAAGTAGCAAAGCAGTGGAAGCAGTGCAAAAGTTGCAAGTTAATCTATTTTCTCATAAAATCACTCTAGTTTAGCGTTACTCAAACTTCCCAAAAGTATTTCACTACATTATTTGATGTTTCTTAATTCATATTAGAAAGATAAATAGTCATCATTGAAACATTTTTACAAAATAAACAGCAAATTTTTTGCAAAATGACGTTGTCCATTTGATTAACATTGTAGTTACTTTTTACACACTTTATTAGAATAGAAACGCGTCCTGAGGACTGGCCATATAAATAAGTTCCTTATTTCATGCACCTACTAACTCAATGGAAGGCTGGTCAACTTACCTGGCGCCTGTGTAATTATTTCATTAGTTTGAATCATTTTTTTGCAAATTAGGTTTTCAAAAATGGGTGACGTCAAATTAAATAACATTAAATGCATTAAAATATTTCATTACTCAAAATTTTAATTTTATTGTTTGAAAAAAATATTACTAGTTCACAGTCAATTTTTTCCTGAGTGTAGAAATGTTGTATTTTACGAGATAATCAGAGACTTTTCAATTTAGTAAATCTTGTGAAATAAGTCTTAGAAAATGTGTATTGTGGAACGGAATTTATCTTGTCGTCTTCATAAAACTTTTATTCACTTGACTATCATGAAATATATTATATTATATAGTCTACAATGAAAAGATCAATTGTGTTCACATATCTGTTGTCATAAAGAGTACAAACGATGTCATGTTGTATTTCACTTTTATGGTTCCAGAGAGCCTCAGGGAATACTTCACCAAGTATGGAGACATCACGGAAGTTATGGTGATGAAAGATCCAACCACACGCCGATCAAGGTATGTTTCAATTTATTATCATTTTATTTACTTCTGTTCTGTCTATAACGAGTTATCCGCTTACTACCGTCATCTTTCATTATTACTGTAATGATTATTTTTATTACCTTTGCTACGAATCAGTTATATATGGTATGCCTTTGCTAGGTTCAATCATTTTATCCTCCTAGTAACGAATTATTTATTTGACCCATAATAGATGGAAAAAACAAAAAAAAACTCCACAGTTATTTCAAATGTATATATTTTGTATTCCTAAAATTTCAACATGAACCTCAAATAATTTGAGGTTCTCCAAAGCCATCACTGCAAATCCAGTGTATGAAACTAATTTTTTTTTAAACTGACCTGTTCATCCTACACTATATCCTACTCCATTTATAAAATACCACAATAGTCGAGTCTACATTAAAAATCAATGAAGTATTTAATCTACTATGTGATCATCATCAACACCACAAATCTAAATGCCCTAGAAAAATAGTCTTCAATTATTTACCTTCTATTTCAGCATATGTTAATAAATAATAAGAAATTCTCTGAAATTTTTTATCAAAAAGAATCGTTAAAGAAAGGAAAAAAAAATGTTAATAATTCATTCAATTTCATTTATTCGATATTTTCGTATCAACTGACTAAATATAAAGTAGTAATTTTATTTGAAAGCAATGAAGGAGAACGGAAATTATTTTGATTTTTTTTCATCTATACTTAGTAATCTTCTGAAAAATAAAGAAAAAAAAGGCAAAGAAAATGATCGATTAATTTTGCAAATTACGTGAATCTTCGTGACAGTTTGATAATCAAACGACTTACGATTCTATGGCATTTCCGAGCGATTATACCGATTCCTATTATAGTGGATCAGAATTTTCTAGATTGCGTGCTCGTAATTATAGCTACCAACAGTTGGCTTTGCCTTAGGTGGACACGCAACTCTCACATGAGCTCGCGCAATTGTCATAACATAACCCTCGTGCTTTATGCTAATTTAATATTTTTTTCAATTTTTTTCTATATTTTATTTCCTTTCTATCAATCTTCTGAAGTTACCTCGTGACTAATTTTATTATGTTAGACTTTATTTTACATTTATTTATCCAATTACTTGTCTTAAACAGATAAGATTACTTACAAAACTGAGGAACAAAAACAATGTTGTGAAAAAAAAATAGAAAATCTAGATTTTTAAATACCTTGGATAATAACCGTAACATTGTCATGGAATGATTGACGAGTGGAGTACAGTGACACGTTAAAAATACAACAGAGACTAGAGGAAGATGTGGCACGTGTTGCTTCCAAATATTTTTTTTATTCTGTTTTTTCATTTTTGCTCTCAGCATTCTTCGTTCCATATTAATGTACCAACTTGTCTTGTTTTTAATTTTATTTTAAAATTCTTTTTTCTTAACTAAGTGAAGATTATTCAGTTTATTTCCTTGTTCACAATTTTTTTTCGTCACTAAAATTTTTACATTAACACAATAGCTTATTTTTTTCTCTTGTATTATCTCCAGTATTCAAAAAGTTTTAAATACATTTTCTTAACAATACCATGTTAATTTAGAGGTTTTAATTAAAGTCTAATATCTTGGAATTTCAGTTCAGGAAAATTGGCAAATTTTAGTTGAATCGTTGCACAAAATGAGAAGTTAAAGTTGGTGGAGGTCTAATCGCTTCTATTCTTGATCTCCTAGAGTTTGAATTACCTCGCTTAGTCTTAATTTATCTCTAGTTTCTTTGATTTCTAAGACGTTAATTAATCACAAACAGAAACTTTCTTTGTCCATGTAATCTATATTATCGATCAAAAATCCAATAATGAAGACAATCAAATGGTGTTCTGTACTATTTTTCAATCCTCAAGCACACAATTCAAACTATTCACCAAGAAGACTCATCAACTCTATCAATGATCACAATAAATTTAAAATCAATTTCTGTTAAAGAGTCTTCATTTTTAAAACCCAGAGAAAAATATTTATTTCTACTCCAAAAGCTCAAGGCTTGAAATTCACAGTAACTGTCTACTAAATCCTTCGAATTCTAGCAAAGTAAGCGACGAAATTTGTTTGGGGATGGTTGTGAAGTAGAAGGAGAGGATTTTGGTGTCAGTGAGAGGTAACGTCGTATCTCATATCTACGCGAAAGGCTCTGGGAATTTTGCATGGGAACAAGCTTTGCGGCGACTGGAATAAGGGTGGCATGGAAGGTTCGTTACTCTGCGGGTTGTAAATTAATGGTTAACCCATGGTACGACACTCTTGGTCTACGGGTGTTCGTTGATCTATAGACGATGTGTGTGTTGGATCAAGTAAGGTTGCTAATATGCAAAGGTTTCTAACGAGAATCTGTTTGGAATCAGTATAAGAAAACTTGATCAGGCAAACAAACGTCTTTTGAATCAATAAACTTCTCATGTCCCTCATCAATTATCCATTCTTCCACCAAAATAAAAAAAGTTATTCAACATTAATTAATCAATGATTTCTTGTGACTTGATTGGAAAAGAAGGGAAGTAATTGAGCAGTACTGGAGATGAAGAGTAGTAAAGAAAAAATTTTAATATTAAAATCTGAAATTGTAAATTTTATAATAAAAAAGTCAAACAAGGATCAATGCAGGGTTGTTTATTATGTTCTCTTTATGAAAACTTCTTTGTATTTCTATATGATAGAACTGTTTAGGTCACAAGATTGCTATATCATGATTCCTCATTAAAAGAGACCAAATGCTCATTCCGTGGAGTCAGGTAGTTTCGAGGGTGAGAATGGAATAGAAAAAGGGAAAAGAGAACCACCCTCTCATCGACGTCTCATTTCCTGCCTTGAACTTATCAAGACAAATACCCAGCACAGACTTTTTTCTTATATTTTTTTTCTTTAAGCTTTCTTCTTACTTCAGTTGTGGCTCAGCAATCGGAAAATAACTCTAATGAACAAACTATCCTAATTTCTGGTGGAAAGACGGGCTCGACTGTAATTTCCCCACCAACAGCCTCTATTCCTATCTCTCTCTTACTTTAATGTCATCTTTCATTCCCTCTTTACTTCAATTCTTCTAAGATTGAAATATTTTTTTATGTCTGGAGTCCTATGGAAATTGAATATCTAATTAACTTAATTTCTTTTACTTCCTTCAATTTAAGAAATGAAATCTTTTTAGAAGGTTAGTTAACCCTTTCTCAGAGTTAGTATAAAACTTGAAACTTTCTTTGAGACGAAATTTTTAAGTTATCGATATAGTTAGGGCTTTCTGAAATATATAAGAAGGATAATCAAGTGAGAAAGCTCAGTAAAAAGAGTGTGAAAAATGATGGTAAAGAGTTTGAAATTTTCCTGAAGCTGTACTACCATTATTACACCTCTACCACCACCATCACTACTAGAACCTTTGGGGCAATCTGTTAATTTGATCGTAAATCGTCGTTAGTGGAAAATTTAGTTGAAACCTGTCAGCGATAATTAGAGACTTTGCCACAAGTTCACTGCTAGGTTAAAAGAAGAGATAAAAAAATTTAATTTATTGAGTGATTAGCTGCGACTTTTCTTCATTATTAATCTCAGAAAAATTATTATTCTACTAAGAGAACTCGATTTATAATATTCGTTATAATCATCACTCCAAATGGAATCAATTAATGCCATTTTGATAATTGAAATCAGACGGAAAGATTTCTCTCAAATTATGCTGCTATTATTTCTACATGAGTGCTTCAAATTTTTCTTCAAAAAGTTTGTGAAAGTTTAATCATGCCTATGTGTTGTCATAAATTATTATAAAGACTTCCAAAAAATCACTTCCTTTTAGCCATAACAACAATTTAATATTTCTTTATAATTTGATTGTTTGAACTCAAGTGTCTCTTAAAGGACATTTTTACCCGGCACCAACATCCCTTTTCTTACATTTTTAATTGAATAATTAATTTTAACTGGTTAAAATAAAATCGATATTGATTTCTTTTAATTTTCTTATTGTTTTTAATCAAATATTTTTGCGAAAAATGCTTCTGTTAACGTTTTATGTTTCTTTGCATACTAAATTTTGTCTAAAGCATAATTAAACACAATATTGATTAATAAAATATAGTAAGAAATATTTCTTGAAATAAATTGAATAATTAATAATAAATTTTTTCCATATGAGGTGACATCTAAAAATGAATTATTTAATAATACCATAAACTGAATGTTTCCATCAACTGAAAATAAATAAAATTAACAAATATAACATTTGAAAATGATGGTTATTGCGAATTTAACATTTACACGATACGATAAGTGAGGATAGGGTGGCTTATTTCCGTTCGACCCCTTTCAAGTACGTAGGAGTCTCTCATGGTTGGCTTACGCTGACGTGTGTAGAGGATGTGCTTGGTCCGATAGTAGCTTACACGAGAGAGAAATCAGAAAGGACGGTAGATGGTTATGTAGAGTGTGAGGGGGTGGTAAGTAATTTATCAGGATGTCCGGTACGTAGTACTAACCTTTAGTGGACTTGGTCAGTTGAATATATCTTTTCTCATCACAACATTGTTTTATTTCAATCTTTTTCCTGTGATTAAAACGCAATCTTTCCTCCAGACAAAATAAAGAATTTCGAAAAATTTTTCTCAAATTCTTTTTTCTCGTGTAAACTAGAAAAATGTTACAAAGTAAGAATGAGGTTGAAAAGCGGAAATCACGGAACTGCTCACCCCCTTGAATCCGCAAACTTGCGATTCCATGTTCTGTGTACGGATCACGCGATTCCCGCGTTAATTCCCGCAGGGCACAGCAGGTGTCCTCGCGCGGACTCGCATTAATCCAACCCCTCACAGAGCATGGCAACATAGCAGGAAAGAGGGAGAACACACTATCTCCCTAAGGGGTTGCTTGAGGAATACTTCCACCCCTTATTTATTCTTCGATTAACCGCACTTGCCATCGCGGATGCGGTGCGTTTAAATGCCGTAAATCGTATCGCTATTTTACTCACCGATCTAGTGG